ATACATCCCAGGAGTAGTCAGGAGGGTTCTTAGCTCAGCCAATGTCTGAGCTAACAACATGGACTATTTCTAATCCTTATGCATTAGTGAAATGATAGGAAAGTGTATCCAATTTACTTATTGTAACCTTTTTTTTCATGCCTTCATTTACTTCCTGGTTTCCATGCCCATGCAAATAATGTCATACATCCCAGGAGTCGTCAGGAGGGGGGGGAGGGTTCTCGGCTCAGCCAATGCCTGAGTGAACAACATGGACCATTTCTAATCCTTACGCTGCTAACAATAGTAAATTGATAGGAAAGTATATCCAAATGTACTTATTTTAAGCTTTTTTTGCATTTCTTCATTTAATTCCTGGTTGCCATGCCTAGGCAAATGATGTCATACATCCCAGGAGTCGTCAGGAGGGGGAGAGGGGGTTCTCAGCTGAGCCAATGCCTGAGCTAACAATACAGACTATTTCTAATCCTTATCCTGCTAGCATTAGTAAATTGATAGGAAAGTATATCCAATTGACTTATTTTACTAATACTAGCAGCATAAGGATTAGAAATAGTCCACGTTGTTAGCTCAGGCATTGGCTGAGCTGAGAACCCGCTCTCACTTCTTGACGACTCCTGGGATGTATGCTTTCTTTTGCCTAGGCATAGAAACCAGGAAGTAAATGAAGGAATGCAAAAAAAAAAAAAAAGTTAAAATAAAGTCAATTGGCTATACTTTCCTATCAATTTAACTTTTTTTTGCATTCCTTCATTCACTTCCTGGTTTCCATGCCTAGGCAAATTATGTCATACATCCCAGGAGTCATCAGGAGGGGAGGGTTCTCAGCTCAGCCAATACCTGAGCTAACAACATGGACTATTTCTAATCCTTCTGCTGCTAGTATTAGTAAATTGATAGGAAAGTATATCCAATTTACTTATTTTAACCTTTTTTGCATTTCTTCATTTACTTCCTGGTTTCCATTCCTAGGCAAATAATGTCATACATCCCAGGAGTCGTCAGGAGGGGAGAGAGGGTTCTCAGCTCAACCAATGCCTAAGCTAACAACATGGACTATTTCTAATCCTTATGCTGCTAGTATTAGTAAATTGATAGGAAAGTATATCCAATTTACTTATTTTAACCTTTTTTTTTTGCATTCCTTCATTTACTTCCTGGTTTCTGTGCCTAGGCAAATGATATTGTACATCCCAGGAGTCGTCAGAAGGGGGGAGAGGGTTCTCAGCTCAGTCAATGCCTGAGCTAAGGACAGATGGATTCCAGAAAGTAACTGCTACATCAATCATCTGCCCTTGCACAAGATGGCCACTGCCAGAAATGACAGGAGGTGTTTTTCAAAAGGATTTCTCCGCAAAATAAAGCATGGAGACATGGGTGGATGGAGGAGTTTGTTTTGAATATTAAAAATGAATCATTTGTTTTCGGGGTTGTGGTCATCGTGGTGATGTATTGCATATCTGGTGGTCATGCCCGAGACCGTTTCGTTTTTGGTCTCGTGTATTTGGCCTCCTTTTCACTTTGTTCCCATCTCTCCATACGCCGGGATGTTCGGTATGTTTTGCTTCATTGCCCCATACCGGGCCTCTTGGCTCACCAGCAGAAGTTGGCTTCATCTGTTTTTATCCGCCACTAGAACAATTGCTCAGGCCTGGAGGAGTCCGTTTGTCCCTCTTCAGGGGGTGCGGGATCGTATGACCACTATGATGCTCAACGAACAGATGTCGAGTATCCGCAATGACTCCCAACGTAAATTTTTGAAAATATGGGAGCCGTGGTTGCAATATGCCCTTCCCTCACTCTCCCCGGCTAGTCTGGGGATGTAATGGCGTTCGGTGTTGGCGCTCTTGAATCCCTGCTCTTTGCCCCCCCCCCTTTTTTTTTTTTTTTTATTTCTTTTCCTTTTTCTCTCTCTCTCTGTTTTTGGTGTGACTAGGACAGCTGCATTTAGTTGTTATAATCAGTTACATTAATGTTTTGTAACTTATGTGCCTTTGATAGCCCCTGCAGTGGGCGTACCTTTTTGTTGGCATTAGAGCATTGTTTTTCCCCTTTTTTTTTATTTGGCATTTGTTTATCTGTGCAATTGATAGCCCCTGCGTGGGCGTGTTTTACTGCCTCTTGTTTATACTGTTTAAAAAATTTAATAAAAACCATTGAAATAGAAAAATGAATCATTTAGCATTTTCTGGTACCCAGATGCAGTACAGTTCCACTTTAAGTAATGTTTGAAAAATATTATTATTATTATACAGTATTTATAAAGCGCCAATAGTTCGCTCAGCGCTGTACATTACAAAGGGGGAGAGAACATGTGACAGAACAATACCAATACAATGCAAAACATGAGGGGATTGAGGGCCCTGCTCCTTGGAGCTTACAATCTAGGATGGTGTTTATTGTAGTTTCTTGCATCCCAATTAGTAGTGCTGTCAATGGACTGAGATTATTGCGGCTCTATCTCACTAGACATGACAAAAACCAAGAGACTCTATAACTGAGCATATTTCAACAGACATTTAGGCATCGCATTCCATAATCTAGAGATCATAAATTCTTTACATGTACTGAGGAGCGCCTAGTACAAAAGTTCAGATCACTACAAGGTCTTTTTAAAATCTTTAGCGGCTAAGAGCAATAAATACATCAAAACGTGTTTTGGGGGTAGGGCCTCCCCTTCTTCAGGGCTCGAGTAGTAGAGGTTATTAAAATCACGATGGAATGTGCTAGAGGACCTATATTAAAAAGTAGTGGTGCACCGAAATGAAAATTCTGGTGCCGAAAAGGAAAAAAGTCAAAATGCACTTGGCCGAAAACCGAAATGCAGTTTTAAAAATGAATACATAATTTTTGGAAAAAAAAATACACGGATTAAAAAAATATAAACAAAAAAAAAACAAAACAATATATACCCCAATTTTTTTTTGTAAAATATGAAAGAGGATGTAGCGGCGAGTACATAGATACCCAACATGTCACGCTTTAAAATTGCGCACGCTCGTGGAATGGTGTGAAACTGCGTTACTTAATCTCCATGGGTGATGCTTTAAAAATTTCTACAGTTTAGCAGTGTAAAGTTACAGAGGAGGTCTAGTGCGAGAATTATTGCTCTTGCTCTGACGTTTGTGGCGATACCTCTGACATTTTTGCACTGTCCCTTTATAAAAGTTTTTAATCACTTTTATTCTTATCACAAGGAATGTATGCATCCTTTATGACACAAATAATTAGTGACAGGTCCTCTTTATGGAGCGATATGGGGTCAATAAGACCCCACATCTCTCCTCTGCAATGTAAAGCATTGGATCAAAAAAAAATAAAAAAATAAAATAATCCTTTTGATCTAGTGCTTTAAAAAAAAAAAAAAAAAAAAAAAAAAAAAGGTCCGGAACCAGGCCATCTTTCCTTCACTAACCTCTATGGCCAGCGCCGGGATCGTTGGATGGTTTCTCAGGTAAGGTTTTGTAGGGGAGGGAGCTAGGGGGTAACTGTGGGGGATAGTGTCTCTGGAGGCGACTGCTGGTCTTCCCAGGGTCAATATGGTAGACTGTAGCTTACTGTAGAGACTGGGGGACACTGAAACACTGTGGAAGCTTGGGGGCACTATGGTGGGCTAGACGCTCTGCAGCAAGTCAGGGGGCACTGTGGGGGGATTGAGGGGCACCACTATGGGTGGCACTATGGGAGATGGACAGTGGGGTGGTTAGGAGATCTGCAAGTGGCTAGAGGCCTGAGAGCGAGGGAAGCCGGAGCCTGGCAGTGAGTGGTTGAGACCCATTGCTCTACTGCATTCCATCTTGAAGAAGAGGAAAGGTCTTCCCCCGAAACAAACCGGCTGTATTTGATTAACCAGTAATTGTTTCAAAACAGACCTTTTATTGATGAATGAAGGCGACTTTTACTCCAGGTGCTCTTCAGCACACATCCATGAGTAGATCATTTGTTGAGCGATTCTTTTGGCGCAATCAGAGAGCACGAAAGCAGTCTACCAACAAAACAAGGTCCACATATACTATACTTCAAAGATGAGGATCTGTGATGGGAGGGAGGCGCATTTCACGGTAGATCCTTCAGAATCAAATCTCACTTCTATCAGTCCAGTGCCATCAAGCACACAGACATGATACATTCACATGTGTATAGGATGTACAGTAATCAAAAATATGGAATTTTAAGTAAAAAATATGAACCAATATTTCAAAATGTGTACTTACTGAAATGATCCATAGTTTAAAAAAGGTAACATACTGAGAGATTATTGCTTTCTAAAAATGCTAGTTTCCTGGCTGTTTCTGGCTTTAAAGAGAAACGGTCACTTTTTCCATTCAAGAACATTGTCATTGCCTGTAAAATGTCCTCGCCATGACCAGCTGATACTCACCTTTCCCGCCATCTCCCGATGCTGCAATCCTCTGTTCAACTGTCACCAAAATAGTGACAGGTCATTCGACAGTACTTGGACCTGTGCTGATCACATGCATTCTCCCAAGAAAAAAAAAAAAACCTCTCTAGTAATACACACTAAACTGAGCATGTGCAGAATGACTACGGGTTTAGTCTGTCTTATCAGGTGGGTATTTAAACAAGAAAAGGGGCAGAGAAAACAGGATCAAATGGCCTTTTTACACAATGCGGAGGATTAACCCCTTCGGTTCCACAGTGAGTATAACAAGCATACTTTACTGCATCTACAGACTGATTGTACTGTTGTGGGTTTAGTAACACTTTAAAGCTGAGCAGCCTTTCAAATGTCTAAGCAAATCATATGCAATCATTGTAGTGTGTATCCCAAACAAAGCAACTTGGGCATAAAATAACTTGAGGCATGAAATGAACAAATAAGTGCCTCTAATTACCAGCATAATTAAAAGCTATGAATGGAAGAAGTGTGTACAGGAGAGGAACATGTGTTGATATCCTTTACATAATGTGATCAGGATTATACAGACTTCCTACATAATTAAGAGAAGGAGTGAAGGATTCCCTTTTAAATACTGTACCTTCCTCGGTCATTGATTGCAAATATAAGAAGGAAACCTTCTCCTGTCCTCATGTACTGCTCTCTCATCGCTCCAAACTCCTCTTGTCCGGCTGTGTCCAGAACTAGAACAAAAAAAAAAAAAAAAAAAAATTACAAGCTTTTAATAGGTGACGATAGTAAAGATCACATACACCATAAATATATAAAAAAAATATATCTTATGCAAAACAACTAAACATTTTGTCACTATGGGGATTATTTAATACAACTAGAGGGTGCAAAATCTGGTGCATAGAAACCAATCAGCTTCCAGGTTTTATTGCCAAAGCTTAACCACTTGCCCTCCAGAGGATTTACCCCCCTTCCTGGCCATTTTTTGCGATACAGTGCTGCGTTACTTTAACTGACAATTGCGCGGTCATGCAACGCTGTACATAAATGAAATGTATGTATTTTCCCCCCCCACCAAATAGAGCTTTCTTTCAGTGTTATTTGATCACCTCTGCATTTTTATGCTATTTAAAAAAATAAAAAATAAATATATATATATATATATATATATATATATATATATATATATATATATATATATATATATATATATATTATTATACAATATTTATATAGCGCCAACAGTTTGCTCAGCGCTGTACATTATAATGGGAGACAGTACACGAGACAGTACAGTAACAATACAATACACGAGGGGTTCGAGGGCCCTGCTCCTTGGAGCTTACAATCTAGGAGGGAATATATATATATATATATATATATATATATATATATATATACATACACACATACATTATATATATATATATATATATATATATATACACACACACACACACATACATATACACACACACATACATATATATACATACATACATACATATATATATATATATACACACACACATACACACACACACACATACAATATACATACACAACACATTTTATATTTATTTATACACTATACGTAAACACACATGTCCATAAAATTTTTATTTATTTTTGCTATAAAAAAAAAAAAAAAAAAAAAAAAAAAAAAGTCTAATTTCTTCATAAAATTTAGGTCAAAATGTATTCTGCTAAAATGCCTTTGCTAATAAAAAATCCAAATACGTGTAAATTGATTGGTTTACATGAAAGTTATAGCGTCTACAAATGGCAGTATATATATATATATATATATATATATATATATATATATATATATATATATATATATATATGAAATTTTAATTTACATTTTTTTTTATACTAATAATGGCGGCGATCAGCGACTTATAGCAGGATTGCGGGACTGTGGCAGGCAGTGTGACACTGGGTGGGAACGAATTGCCAGTGACATCCTCAGTGACACTAGGTTCACACCTATGCAGTTTGCGTTTGATCAGTTTCTGCAGTGAGTTTTGCGTTGCGTTTTTGCACATTTGTGTTTTAAAACTGCAACAAGAAAAAAAAAATTAACAGAACGCATCAAAAACACTCAAAAACGCACTACATGCTTTTCTGCAGCGTTTCCATTTCAGTCTATAGAACCAAAAACACAACGTTTTGCGTTCAAAAAAGTCCTTGACCCTTTCCAAAAAAAAAAAAAAAAAAAAAAAAAAAAAAAAAAAAAAAAAAACGCACTGGGTGAAAACGCGCAGATGCGAACATTTCCCATAGGAAATCATGTTAATCGGACTGCTGTGCATTTGTGCAAAACGCTGCAGAAAACACATAGGGGTGCAACTGGGGTAATAGTAGTGATCAGGGCTAATAAACACTGACATTGGTTAGGAAGGGGTTAATATCTGGGGTGATCAAAGGGTTAACTGTGTGCTGTTTTACCAGTTTTTTGTGGGGGGGGGGGGGGGGAGAGTTTTGCTTGTTAGGCTTCACTGGTTATATATAGATCTGCTAGATTGTAAGCTCGAAAGAGCAGGGCCCTAGAACCCCTTGTGTATTGTATTGTTACTGTCTTGTCTCATGTTCTGTACCCCTTGCTACTGTACAGCGCTGAGCAAACCCTTTGGTGCTATATAAATACTGTATAATAAATAATAATAATAATATCTTTGTAATAAAGTAAACTATACATTTTATAATCACTTCTATTGGTAATTGTTCTGGTTGTTGCAGCTCCCATATATTTCTCAGATTTTGGTGTTACTGGGTGGGAATGGCAATGCTCTTTTAGACTTTCCAACAGGTGAGGTTTTTTATTCCTGAGAGCTAAACTATACATGCCTGGTAATAGCAATCAGGTTACTATAGTTTTAGCTGTCATTTAATTCTGTGCAGAGGAATGAAGCACGACAAGTCAATTGTTGCCCACTGTGATGGCCCAGTCACGGTGTGAGTTTAGGGGGAAAAAATAAAACAAAATGTAAAAAAAGGAAAAACCAAAAAACAGGATTCGCACTTATGCAGAAGTGTTTGTGAGCAGAGAAAAATAGTGTTTACAGCTTTCTCCGGGATTTTGTAATCCTGAACCTGGATCTGAAGCTTGAAGGCTTCAGTCTCTTGAGAGCCTTCAAATCCTGTGTCCAGGTCTTCCTGGAAACCTGCAGGGTGTGTGTGTCCAGGCGCACACACCCTGCAGGAGCTGAGCCCTTGTGTGGAGATAGGCGTGTTGGCTTGTTTGGAGAGATATGTGCTCCAGCCAGAAGAGAAGATCCACTAGGGAGACGAGACTCCATGTTGGAGAACTTCCCTACCTGCAGGACAAGGAGAGTTGGGACAGTTGAGCAAGTCAGTAGGACTGAGAGAGCTGAGGCAACCAGCAACTTCATGGGAGTGGAGGAATTCTGCATGTCTCAGGAGAGATAGAGAACCCAGGATGCCTGGAAATCCACTATCTAGAAGGCCAGGAGCGGGTCTGTGCAACAAAGAGGCTGAGTGAGCCAGGAAAGCCAAGTACCAATAGGAGCAGGGCTGCTGACGAGAGCGCCATTTTCCAGTTGGCTGGAGTAAGACCTTGCGTGGGCAACTATGAACGTTTACTTTCGTTGTCTTTTAATAAAAGTGGGCCAGAAAACATGTAATATCTAGGATTTACAAGATCCTGGTTGAATGGGTGGGAGCTGGATCCCCATCGTTCTTGGAGGGTTGGGAAAGAGAACTGGGTACAAAAAATGAATGATCACCAGAAGAGGAAAATGTTTAAGTTAATGTACGGGGTGATGAACATGAATATAGTTGGGGGATGAACTATAAATGTTTGTCTAGATCAGTGGTGGGCAACCTTTTATTTTCAACTGAGCCAAATCTCGCCAAAACCATGATTGAAATTTATTTTGAGAGCATGCCACATTTTTAAAACTGAAAATACATCTCCCATATAGTAATTCATCCCCCATAGTAATTCATCCCCCATATAGTAATTCATCCCCATAGTGTAATTCATCCCCCATAGTAATTCATCCCCCATAGTAATTCATCCCCCATATAGTAATTCATCCCCCATATAGTAATTTCATTCCCCATAGTTTTAATTCTGAATCCCCAGAGAATAGTAAGTCATCCCCCATCAATTTTATGTATAGTATTTCATCCCTCGTATAGTATTTTCATCCCCAGTGTAGTATTTCATCCCCCATAAAAGTACTTTCATCCCCATATAGTATTTCATCCCTCATATAGTATTTCATCCCTCATATAGTATATTCATCCCCCATATAGTAATTGGTGGTATTTCATCCCTCATATAGTATTTCATCACCTTCATATAGTTATTTCATCCCCCCATAAGTATTTCATCCCTCATAGTATTTCATCCCCCCATATAGTATTTCATCCCTCATTTAGTATTTCATCCCCCCATATAGTATTTCATCCCTCATATAGTAATTCATCCCTCATATAGTATTTCATCCCCCCATTATAGTATTTCATCCCTCATATAGTATTTCATCCCTCATATAGACTAGTTTTCATCCCCCCATATAGTATTTCATCCCTAATATAGTAATTCATCCCTCATATGTATTTCATCCCCCCATGGGTAGTCGTATTCATCCCCCCATACATATAGTATTTCATCCCCCCATATAGTATTTCAAATATAGTATTTCATCCCTCATATAGTATTTCATCCTCATATATAATTCATCCCTCATATAGTATTTCATCCCTCATATAGTATTTCATCCCTCATATAGTATTTCATCCCCAATAGTATTTCATCCCCCCATATTGGGTGTATTTCATCCCTCATATTGTAATTCATCCCTCATATAGTATTTCATCCCTCATATAGTATTTCATCCCTCATATTAGTATTTCATCCCCCCATATAGGATTTTTCATCCCCCCATATAGTATTCATCCCTCATAAAGTAATTCATCCCTCATATAGTATTTCATCCCCACAGTACTATTCCCCCCCCCCTTCTAGTAAGCCAATCCCCCGTGTCAATTCACTTACTTTTGCGTTCCTCTCGCTGGTCTTCCCGCGCCGTTCGGGTCTTCAGGGCGGACTGTGAGAGGAGCCTAGCTCCCCTCCCCTCACGTTCGGCACGCTGCCCCGCCTACACACATCTGAAGCCACATCCGCAGGCTGGATTAAAAGGTCCGCCGCGGACTTTTGGGGCTGCCAACCGAGGAGGCAAGCGGCTGTGGACCCGAGAGAGGAGGGGGGTGCAGGCGCCCGGCACACTAGTTTGGAGCCGCATTAGACTGGGTAAAGAGCCGCATGTGGCTCGCGAGCCGCGGATCTTTGCCGACCACTGGTCTAGATGGTATTGCACCACAGAGGAGTGTGGCACAACACAGAGAAAAGTAGTATCACTTTATGCTGGACAGGGTGTGGGGCAATAGGGAAATTGGCTTCATATATGGTGGGAATGCCCACTAAAATTCAGTTATTTTGCAGAGGATAATTCATCATATACAGGAGATTTGGGGGACATCTATCAAGAAGGATCCATGGGTGTCTTTTTTATAGCACAGAGTTGTCAGTAAAACAATATAAAAACAGTTTATTATATCATCACTTCAATGGTGCAGCAAAGGGTTTAATCCCTAGGTTTTGGAAGGCCCCAGGATCCTCCAACAATGAGGGATTGGATAGACAGAGTTTGATGTGTTTT